CACAGAGTCACAATAGATAATGATAATACATTGTGTATTTTTCTAACAGAGATAGAAGAAAGGATTTTAAGTGGATTTGCTACAAATTCCAAATGTTTAGTAGATAGATATATTCACCCCGATGGCATATTATACAATGTATACACATTTCAAAACATCACATGGTATCCCATAAATATGCACAACTTAATGTGCCATTAAACCTTAAAAATAACAACCACAGTAGACTTTACTAACTGTGTGGATACTAAATATGTATAGGGTAGATTTTTAAACAATACGAACTGTATAAGTCTTCTTTAATACATACCTGTATGTATTGATTTTCTTAGATTATTTTTCTAGTAATGGAAGGATAAGAATACACTGGGTTAAACTGCTAGAGTCATCCAACTCTTTAAAATATTTATGAAAAAGATAATTATAATGTTTATTGAAAATACATGCATAGATATGAGCATATATTTACTTTCATGTAAAAACATATAAAGATAAAAATTATGCATATTTGTACCCTCATAATGGATTTTTTCATTAATTTTGTTAAAGTTATATTCAGAGTAATTTGAAACTTGGAACTTTTATTATATATTTTCTTTACATAGATATGTTCAGGTATGTTTCCTTATTGTAAAGGAGTGTCAGATGGGACAATTTCTTCATATGTGGGCTCGAGTATGTAAGTGTGTGAAAGTGTATACATTTGTAGGTTTGTCAGAATGATGGAGGAAAAAGTACTTACTTAATACAATGGCAAAATTATGTTTAAAGAAATTAAGTATAAGTCCTATGAAAGAAGAAAGAGTAATTTCTTAGCGGTCTAGGACATGAGAAATTTTGTAAGTAAGTGAAAACATGAATGAAATTCTTTTGCTAGCTTAGGAGATGCAAAAAATAAAAACAGGGGCTGGCACTGTGGCACAGTGGGTTAAAGCCCCAGTCTGCAGTGCGGGCATCCCATGTGGGAGCCAGTTTGAGTCCCGGCTGGTTTACTTCCTATCCAGCTCTCTGCTATGGCCTGGGAAAGCAGTAGAAGATGGCCCAAGTCCTTGGGCCCCTGCACCTGCATGGGAGACCTAGAAGAAGCTCCTGGCTCCTGGCTCCTGGCTTTGGATTGGCCCAGCTCCAGCCATTGCGGCCACTTGTAGAGTGAACCAATGGATGGAAGACTTTTCTCTCTCTCTCTCTCTGCCTCTGCCTCCCTGTAACTCTGCCTTTCAAATAAATAAATAAATCTTAAAGGGAAAGAAAAACAATGAAACAAATTTAAAACGCAGAAAAGAGAAGCAGAAGAGGTTTTAGTTTAAAACCGTGAATTCTAACTGGCTTTCCCCTTCCACACTATAATTATTACAAGCAGTTGACTGGGCCTGTGGTTAGTCGTGGTCTGCTCTGATGCAGAAGGTAATCCTCCTTTCCTTTACAGATATGCTTGCTAAAATTACAGTTGATTCAAAACTGAAATACTAAGGCTTGATGTAAGTAGTGAGTTATGCAAGATAATATGTTTCTTAATTTATTTTTAAAAATCCTGACATTGAAAATACAAATAAGGAAAGCACAACTAAACACAGTTCTGATTGAATCTGTGACGCATAAACAACTCACAGAGTGATTCAATCACAAGTTAGCCTACTGAAATTCTTAATTAAAATTATTTTTCATGACATGTGGTCATTGGAGCTTGCATGCATTCCATCAGTTAGAAAGGAATGGAAGGAATAGAAACACTGTGTAGGCTATGTAATTCTTCGATTTTTCCCTTTGCTTATATCTTTGCATGAATCACAATGGAGATATCTATAAATTGATTTAAAGTAAAGAAAAGTCACCCAATAAGCCAATTACTTAAATACCAAAAATTTTAAAGTGCTCAAAAAAATTCCATCAAATAACCCTTGAAGGAATAAACTGCATAATGAGAGTTAAAAGTTCCAACAATACCCATTAGGGTATTCTGCTGCACCATTGATTCCCCTAGTATCAATTGCTTTCACTTAGCTGAAATCTTGAGTGTTTATCGGAAAGAACTAATAAACCACAGTCAATTTTCTTTTTAACCTCACAAGGGTAGCTTGAATGAATTAAATGCTCTCCCCCAGCATTCTATTCCAGATACATAACTAAAAAGAATATCTTGAACATTGATTTGTATAAGTCTCTGACTAAAAATGAAAACAAGGAAGGAAGAACATGTGAATATATTCTGCAGTGATGGAAATATAGGCACTTTATTCCCATATTTTAGATCATCACATACCTGTTAAGACTATGCCTCCCTTTGTTTCATGTTTAAAGTAACAGCAGGATGAGACTATTAAATGAATGTAATGCTTCCACCAACACATCCATTTCTCTCAGTTTTATTGAGGTATGAGTCTGTAGAGTTAGGAAAATAAATAAATAGATAGAGATGGAAAATAAATAGATAGATAGACAGAGATAGAAAAATGGCTTTTCTGCCCAAGATTACTGCTCTCAGGTAGCTGATAATTACAGAGCAATATTGTTCTAAAGTTATCTTAATTCTTCCATCATTTGTCTAAAAGTATTCTGTCACTGTATCAAAGAGTTTCTATTGTCTCCATATTTTAGTAAAATTAGGAGTAGGTGTTTGTCACAGCAATTGACACCACTTGGGATTTCCTTACTCCTTATCAAAATGCCTCAATTCAAACCCTTGATACACTACTGATTCCAACATCATGCTAATGCATACCTTAGGAAACAGTAGATGATGGTGCAAGTGGCTAAGTCCCTGCCACCCACACAAGTGACCTGGGTTGTGTTTCTGGATCTTGGCCTTGGCCTGGTCCAGTCCCAGTTGTTGCAGGTATTTGGGGAGTGAATCACAGCTGATGGAAGATCTCTCTCTGTCATCTCTCACTTGCAGTCTCTCTGCCTTTCAATTAAATTAAGTATATAAGCAAAATTAGTAAAATGATAAAATTAAAGTGTTTTGGGAATAGAATAAAAGAGTGGCTGAGCGTTATTAGATTATTATTGTTCACATGTTTCATTTTCAACTCAAATTTGTTCTATAAAAACAATATAAAAATTAAATAGTAAACAAATTGCTTAAAACATACTTTATAAAATAATGAGGCTTAAAACAGAACTAACTGAACATTTAAAATTTTTAATAATTTTTATTGATATGGAACTAGCACATTTTTATGAGTAAAATATTATTTCAACATATGTGTATAGCATAAACTGATCAAACCACATATTACCATATCTAGTTGAGTGTTTTAAAATTTTGTCTTAAATTATTTAATTGCTGGATGAATGTAGCTGATGATATGAATTCAGTTATTTTCTGCCACAGTTCAAGTGACGGCTTCTTACAGAATTCGAGATGGAGGTTTTCCAAATCTGAAAGTATTTCTATAAAAGACAATACTAACACATTATTTATACATTGTATGAGTAATTATAAAACATTTTATTAATAATTTCAAAATAGGAAATAGCAACTAAAAGCTGTCAAAGTTCCAGCCAAATCTCAGCTGCCAACCCAGGATGCTTTATGATGGTAGACATCAGATTTACACAACATTTTCACGATTTGGGTGGAATGACTCTCATTCAGAACTGAGTGTAGAGATTTTACCATTCCACAGAACTGCACCCAGAATTTATTGAACTATTGAAGTAACTTGGAGGTGCTTACTAAGATGTCAAATCCTTGCAAGTGAGTATAAAATTTTGTGTTCCTGGGGTCTAGAATATCTGGAGCATAGTGAATTACTGTTAGTTACTGTTGGTTTGGAATCATTAAATCAGTGATTAGCAAAATAATTTTAGAATTTTGTGGGAGTGTGTGGTTCAAAATGATATACTGTAAAAATGAGACAAATTGTGAAAAGTAGAATAATAAATCATAATATAGAGTGATTTTCAACTGGTGAAATCAATGTGAGACATTTAAAAGTGTGATAGCTATTTTTTTTTTTTTTTGAGAAAGAGAGAGAGACAGAGAGGGAGAGAGAGAGAGAAAATGTATGTGTGTGTGTGTGTGTGTGTGTACTCCCATTCACTGGCTCCCTGGTTCGCTATCCAAATGACCACAAATAGATGCATCTTGGCCAAAGTCACGGCCAAAACCAGGAGTTCAATCTAGGATCCTCTTGCGGGTGGCAAGAATCAACCACTTGAGCCATCACTGATGCCTCTGTGTGTGTGTACAGCAGGAAGCTGGAATCACGAGTTGGATGTGGGTATTGAACCCAGGCACTCCAATACAGGGTGGTGGCATCCTAACTACTATACCAAGTGCCCACCCCTGTGCTAGCAAGTTCTAACTGAGTCCCCTGCTTACCTCTTCCCTCTGATTGTTTGCTTTCCAGTTCATGATCCAGATCCACTCATTATTTATACAATATTGTATATAAAAATTTCAACTTATGTTGAAATTGAATCTGACACTGTGTTTCCCAATTGAGGTAATGATTGTGCCTCATATGTTTCAAGACATGCCCTGCAGAGACTATTTTAATCTATGGAGGATAACAACCTGCTGACCACTTCTCAATTGATTTAGAAGCATAATTTTGTATTATATTTCAACATCAGTTCATATTAAACATGGCATTTATTTATGATTATGTGTTACCTAAGCTCTCTTAATTGTCTTTTCATATGAGAATCATATGAAACCAATATAATGTACCAAATGTGTTAACAACTAACTCTGAAGAAAAATTTCAAGGACAGTAAAGACACAGGACAGGCTTACTACTGAAAATTTGCTCATTGAAATTGAGAAACTTCATCCACTTTCCATAAATAAATATCACTATGGTGACCAACAGAGAAGTAAACTTCTATCCATACTGAATAATGACCTTTAGGAAAACTACTATGTGGTAAAATGTAATGTATTTTATTCAAAACAAACATAATTATAAGCTTGCAATTTTAGGGAACATGGTAGCAATGTCTTCAAATAAAAATTTATTTGGTTTTGATCTTCTAAAGCTTTTGTGTTTCCTCAGCCACAAAGACTGCTTCTGCCTGTAGGAACATTAGGACACCCACAGCATCCTGCACCTGCAAGGAATGGCTACTATTAATAAGTGAATGCCTGTGGTAACCCCACTCACGGTGTGCGTGCAGGAAGACTGAATTGTGGTTGTGATAAGGTAATGATTTTGCTCACATTGTTTCAGGTCATGCCCTGCATAGACTCCCTTTTGCTTCATGGAGGCTAGCAACCCATGGACCACAGTGTCATCAGATAATTTTGCCTAGTCTGTGTTGAGGAAGGGCAGATGGAAATAATAATTAATGCTGCATTTACAGTCCTTAAATGAAATGAAGATAGAACTGAATATTTAATACATGTCTAAATGCATTCGACTGAAAGCTTCATTCCAATAAATTATGTGATCCTTGTCCACGTGTACGTCTGTGTGTGCAAGCATTTTAACAAACTATGAAATTCTCATAACAAATATTTCTGCTTTCCTTGCTGTTTACCTTGTTTCTCCACCTTACACACAACAGACCTGTGAACATTTTCTCAGACTATTACTTGAAGTGGAAAATTAAAATCATAGATTTTCTACCATATTGTTACCAAGGCAATAATAATTTGGGTCCTAAAAACTGTCTCAGAGGAAATGCTGGAACTATTAAATTGGTAAGTTCACACAGTCTTCCACATGTAAATTTTTGAAGGCAAAAATCTGAAACAATGCAATTTGCATCATCAGCCCGGAAGCAGGTGACATTTAAGTCTTCTCTTTGTGCCTTAATTTAAATAAACTAATCAGCTCTTAGCACTGTAAATCATAGCTTTGCAGAATATATTTATATTTTATAAAATTGATGATGTATTAAGTATAATATGCAAACACATAATCCACTCATGTACATTTTATATTTATTAATATACGTTTTAATTTTTCCTTATTTTTATTTATTTATTTTAAAAGCTTTATTTTAATTATTTGAAAAGCAGAATTACAGAGAGAGAGAGAGAGAGAGAGAGAGAGAGGTCTTTCATCTGTTGGTTTAAACTCCAAATGGCAAAATGGCTAGTATGGTGCCAGGTCAAAGACAATAGCCAGGAGCTTCTTCTGGGTCTCCCAGGTGGGTGGAGGGTCCCAAGTACTTGAGTCATTTTCCATTGCTTTCCCAGGTGTGTTAGGAGGGAGCTTGATTGGAAGTGGAGCAGTCAGTACTTGAACCAGTGTCCACATTGCATGCTGATATCGCTGGTGGCAACTTTACCAGTTAAGCCACAACGTATTTTAAACTCTTCTCCCAGATATTTCAATATGTTAGTTATGTAGCTGGGTCATAGACACTAAGCTTTCTAAGAAGACCCACCACAGAGTTAGGAGCACAGGGATACATGTGGGCATGGAAGATACATAGGGCATGTGAGTATGCTGCAGAGTTTCAAAAATATCTGAGAGGGTTGGAAGAAGTGACGGACAGAGAAGACCTTACATAGGAGGTGATGGTAGAGTTGAGGTATGAAAAGGATTCTAGTAGTAGGTAGTCACATAAAGAAGGATTCTTGATAGTCAAGTAAAGATAACTTGGAGTAGGAGTGACACATTCAGAAGCTGTAGTTAGCTGACATTGGATCTGGGTCAAAAAAAAAAAAAAAACACAAGAGGACCATCTAGAAAAAGAGATCTCACTATGATTTGCATATTGGATATGATACTGTGGGTCACTGAACAACTGAAATAATATATATGTATTTTTTTAATTTAAATTAATTGGAAAGACAGACAGAGATCTGTTTGCTTGTTCATCTTCAAATGCCCACAACAGGCAGGGCCAGGCTGAAGCCAGAAGACTGGAAACCAATCTGGATTTCCACATGGGTAGCAGGAACCCAAGTACTTGAGGCATCAAATGCTGCCTGACAGTGTGCACATTAGTAGGAAGCTGACATCTAGGATTGGAGGTGGAATCGGGACTCAACCGGCACTATGATAGAAATATGGTGACCTAACTGCTGTGTCAAACTCCTGCTTCAAACTCTCCACATATTTTAATGGGGAAATTTATATAATTAGTTTCATAAGTCTGGAAAGTTACTGTGAGGAAGTTGGTGTTGTGGCACAGTGAATTAAGCCCCATCTATGATGCAGGTGTCCCATATGGGCCCTCGTTGAAGTCCCAGCTGTTCTGCTTCTGATCTAGCTCCCTGCTTATCTTCAGCGAAAGCAGAGCAAGATGGCCCCAGTGCTCGGGCCAGTGAGCCCATGTGAGAGATCTGATCAGTGTTCCAAGCTTTTGGCTTCAGCCTGGCTCATCCCAGCCATGGTGGCCATTTGGGGACTGAACTCTCAATGGAAGATCTCTCTATCTCTGTATTGTCCTCTCTATGTAACCCTGCCTTTCAAATAAATAAATGAATAAATAAATCTTTTTTTTAACAAAGTTATCTTGACACAAAGGATAAATAAGGGTCTCATGACAGAAACCAATTTGGAAACCAATTTTATAGCCCTGAATGGAAGATCCTGAGAACAATTCAGATATTGAGGAAGCCCATGGAGTTGATGATGGAATTAGTGCCAGAGTTGAAAATACTGATGACTATGAAAGAATATGTGTGGCTACAGAAAATGTCAGCTTGCTTTCCCTGGCAAGTAGCAGTAGGAAAACAGTCTGAACACAAACATGGGTACACACACACACACACACACACACACACAATCAACGTTCCCAAGAGAGAATAAAGAAATTGGAAAATTTAACAACAAATTGGTTTTTGTCTCATTTTTCTTTATATATAAAACAAAGCTTTTTGTTTTAAATGTTGATTTGAATGCAACAAATATTTATCATAAGTTATCTATTTGCAAATGTCCAGTGTAAAGAGCAAATATTTAGAAAGAGATCTCCTTACCAGGTGGAATTTGCATCCTATTAGGGTAATTTCGACATTGCTTTATGCTAAGCTTAACAGATAAATCAAAGGAGAAAATGTAATTTAGAAAACCTTGTTCTGTAATAACAAATAGGACCTACTTCTACAGGACATTTTCCTAAAAAGGTAATTATTTCTTGGTACTTATAAGTAAAAATTATCTCCAAATTTATTATTTCACAGAGAAGACCCACAAAAGGAAACTCTGAGAAGCTAGACAAAAATAAAAAACAAAAACAAAAATAGTAATGCTATAGTATTTTACAACTCAGTATGATTCTTGAAAATGAATTGTTAGAGAAGACAATTGCAATGGAAATTGTACTAGCTTGTATTTTTCATACTCCAGGTCAAAAACTGCCTGGATAATGAAGAACCTGAATGTACTCGCTGCACTGTAAATATTCTGAATCGGAGATATCACATCAAAACCACACAAGCAAAATTCTAACCTCCCTGTAATGTATGAACAAACCATCTGTGTATACATACATTCATATAATTTTAGGTGCATCTATGAATGCACATACAGATATACACCACTCTGTTTCCTCAACCTCAAAGATTTCTGTCAGATTCCTTTTTCTCAAGCGCATCAAATACAAAACAACAAAAAGTCATTTTTACAGACCTCAGGCCAGTGACCCAGGTGAAAGAGAAATGAAACAAAGCTTCCTTCATAGAAGAATAAGAGCTTTATCATCATTCTTGGACAAGATTTGAGTCACTTATAAAAAGTGATTTATTTTCTGAGGAAAAAAATCCAAATTACTCAATAAAGAAAACATAATTGGAGATCTAGAATTTGGGGAGACAGATCCCAGAGATGTGGTCTTTTGAATCATTATGTTTGACATGTCTAGATGCTTAGGCACTGTGAGTTTTTAAAAGGTATATAGAACTCCCAGAGGCATCCCTTGTTTTTCAATTGTTTTCACTGGTGAAATATATCTTTTCAAACTACATTGTAGAGGCTTTCATAGACCCTTGTGGCAAAGAGAATTGTTAACAACAAACTCTACGAGTACTTCTGTAGACACACCAAATGCTCTATTTATCTCTACACTTTTTGCTCTATTTACTGCCTGGATTATCAAAGTTGAATAATTAATGGATTTTTTTTTTTCAAAGCTCTTTACTCATCCCCTGATCTTCCATTCAACATATTTCAAGTTTCCACTTGTTCTCTGAAGAATATCTACTTGTCTGCCCCTTCTGTTCCCATGTTTCCAGATGTGTCAGCTGTCAATATCTAATCTAGTAGGATTTACTCACGCTGAATAGAGCAAATTCTGAAGTGACCTCCCTGGGATCAGATGGTTCAGGCCAAAAGTATATGAAAATAATTGAGTTTTTAATACTCCAGTTACAATGCATTATATATATATATATAAAATGCATTTTATATATATATATATATATATGATAGAGACACAAAGTAAAATAAAACAGAACATTGCATAATTGTTATCCAGGGAAGTTTTGTCAAAACACTAATAATACAACAGAGAATGAAGTCAGACTTAAAGCAGAGAGATTCCACTTATGTTCATCCAGCTTCTGTCTCTGTGTTTCCTGACTTGGTTGTTTAAATAAGTTTCCCCAAAGTGAGTTTCAAAGTGAAACATGAAGAATGAGCACAGACGTTTTGTGTGCCATCAAATGGATTTTTAGATTAGTTTTGGATGAATGCATTTTAACATGAATACTATATTTAGGTGCTCAGTACAAAAGGTCACTCCATAAGCTCTGTCTGATATAGTGATTTGTGTTACTTTTAGAGAATTCAGAATTCTCTTACTATCTAAAATGACTTAATTCTGCCTGGCAATTCTACTATCAGACAAAAGGAAATTATACCCTTCTCATAATATCTTTAAAAGGCTAAAATTCACCACAACCCTGTTTTGTTCCACTTTTTAAAGGCCTGTATAGTTTAAATGTAACCATTCATTATAATTTTAGTTAGCATTTATTTAGATTCTTGTGCATATTTTTATAATCCATGCAATGCCAATTATAATAACTAAAAAGAAACCTAAATTAGCATCATAATGTTTTCATTTTAAAAAGTTTTTGCTTTTAGAACAAAGAAAACAATAGTAACAACAGGAGCTTTAAAATAAATTTTATAAGGATCAATCAAAGTAGAATAAAGTTACCATGAGTTTTTGAATAAAAATCAGTGATAGCATTTGAGTTTCTTTTATAAAAGGAGTTATGAGACCAGCATGTCACCATGTCATTTAAATCTGTTGTCTGAGATAACTTCCCCTGTGATTTTGAAGAGGCTTGAGCAAATAGAAAAGCAAAAACTTAAAGAGCTTTTCAAGTCAAAGAAGAAAAAATAGGAAAGACTTTATGAATCCACAAGAAAAGGACTACAGGACTTGTGGCCCGGTGTTGAACTGGCTACCTGGAACTAGCCAGTGATAAATCTATGGGTTATACACACTAATGGCTCCTTCAAATTTTACTGGGTGATCTCAACTGAGTAAATAAGTAGTTATTGATATAAACTGTCTTTGGATATATGGTGCTTGTTATTCAAGTATGTATTCTCCCTACATTTTAATTTTTCAATTTTTTTTAGATTAATTTGACAGGTAGAGTTACAGACAGTGAGAGAGATAGAGAGAAATCTTACATTTTAAACTACCTTGCAGGTTGTAAATAGTCGATAGATTGCTCTTTAATAACATTATGCATTCAATATTTCTGTTTAATCAGATTATAAATCTAAACCTTTTTCCTTACTGCTATATGCTGATCAATTAAAAAATACATTTGAATTTTTCTTCAATAAATTCTTCCTTATGGTAGTGACCAGTCAACTCTTAACTCTATATATGTAAGGGCATTTACCCTATGCAGTGTATGTGTGTGGGTCTAAGATAATATATAAGTACATAATTTTGCAAATTATTTGTTACTACATTTTAGAAAGCTCAGTCTAAAGTGATATTCCCATAATACTTTGTTTCATAAAACTATCTTAGTTTTACAGATGAAATGCTTTTACAATAGAATTTATGGCTCCCCATTTAGTCAAAAAATTAAGGGTGACAACAATTACAGCACAACCAGCCACTGACAGTGACAGAGTTTCTGATTTACAAGACTGATGCTTTCATTAACATTTAAATCTATACAATTCTTTTAAATAATCAAGGAATGAATGCTTTGCTTCCTCTTACTAATAATCTCTTATCTTCTTTTCCCATGGTATCAGGCAATTCTAAGGGATTCTTTTCCCCCATGATACACACTATGAATATTCATGCTAAAATGAGAACTATTATAACAAAGTATTAATTATTTACAGCTGCCCAGAGATGCATTAACTTCATGGAATATTACTAATTCACAAAAGCTTTGAACATCAACCTGAGGTCAGTTAAGCATTCATAATACATGATTCTAAAAATAATATTCCCCAAAGTGTGCAATTTTCAGTGGAAAAAGTCAATACAAGTCTACCATGATGAGCAGGAAGATTACATCCAGATCAGAAAAATTATTTATTTTCTCTCTGCACTTCAGGAATGGGAAAGTGTCTTCTGGAAACAACTTTTGTGGAACAGAAGCAAGATTTTTGCCTCTGTACAGAGTCTTCACACTTCTGGACATTTTACATCAGTTGTGAAAGTTTGGGACTGTGTTTCATGCAGGCATTTTGATAGCACTAGCATCATTATAACTGAAGCGGAAGAATGTCAGTGGGAGTTTTGCAAAACACCATTATGGAGATCTCTGTTCTTTTTAATGTTTTTTTAAGATTTATTTATTTATTTATTGGAAAGGCAGAGTTACAGAAAGGCAGGAGCAGAGGCAGAGAGAGAGAGAGGTGTCTTCCATTTGCTGGTTCACTCCCCAGATGGCCATAATGGCCAGAGCAGCACACTGATCTGATGCCAGGAGCCAGGAGCTTCATCTGGGTCTCCCACGTGGGTGCAGCGGCCCAAGGACTTGGCCATCTTCCACTGCTTTCCCAGGCCATAGCAGAGAGCTGGATCGGAAGTGGAGCAGCTGGGTCTTGAACCGACAGCCATATGGGATGCTGGTGCTGCCGGCGGCGTCTTTACCCGCTACACCACAGTGCTGGCCCTGATGGAGGTTTCTCTTCTTGTGGTTCCCATTTTATCCAGGAGGTTGTAACTGAGAAAACAAAAACAAAAACAACAAGCAACTTCCATTCCCTTTAAAGTTAGTGCAGTGCATTGAAAAGAACATAGATCTAAGGCATATTCATTTATGTCTTTTTGTGCAAATCAATGAATGTCTCGAAATCATCAGTTTTACCTGTTATTGACCCAAATACTATGGGTGATGGCTTTGTTAAATGAATTGATGCATATCAAAAAATCACTTAATGTGCCTCCTTGTGAGCTAGTATACATTTAAGCAATGCAATGCTTGTGTTCAAATCCTGAGTCCGCCTTGAGTGCAGTTTGGTCATTCAAGGTGAGCTACTTCATCTCTCTCAACTCCAGTTTCCTCAGGTGTGAAATGGGAATAAATAGCACTACCTAATGTGGTGTGCTGTAGAAACTAAGGGAGTGGGTATTTGTAAAGCGGCCAGCTCAGTGATAGTGTAACACAGGTTCAGTTCAGGTTAGCTTCTATTTTGCAACTGTTATTAGTTATTTTCATTCTTATAATGTAGGTGATGATGATGAAACTAAAAGACTGAACCAGCAGCTAACGTTTTAACATCTTAGGGGGAATAAAGTAGTTCTTTTGTCTGATAAATTGCTAAAGAATATTTGGAAGGTGGTCCATACTGAATATCTGGATAAACACTAGAAATTTCTAATTAAAATTACCTTTTCTTTTTTCTTTTTTTTTTTTATTTTTCTGACAGGCAGATTGGACAGTGAGAGAGAGAGACAGAGAGAAAGGTCTTCCTTTGCCGTTGGTTCACCCTCCAATGGCCGCCGCGGCTGGCGCGCTGCGGCAGGCGCACCGCGCTGATCCGATGGCAGGAACCAGGTACTTATCCTGGTCTCCCATGTGGTGCAGGGCCCAAGGACTTGGGCCATCCTCCACTGCACTCCCTGGCCACAGCAGAGAGCTGGCCTGGAAGAGGGGCAACCAGGACAGAATCCGACACCCCGACCGGGATTAGAACCCGGTGTGCTGGGGCCGCAAGGCGGAGGATTAGCTTAGTGAGCCACAGCGCCGGCTAATTAAAATTACCTTAAGGTAGCAATCATGCTGGGTTATAGTGGGTGCCTTGGTTTTTAAGAGGTAGTAACAAAATATGGAAAATCTTTAAGAATTTTTAAATAGGATTTATAGGCAAAACATATGACAAATTGTAGTGTTGATTCTTAGGCTAATTTTACTTATACTAAAAAGCAAAAGAAATAATTATGTTGAGCAATTCTGTGGCAGTATTATCAAGTCAAATGCAGGTATGCATTCAGAACTCTTAAAAATGAGGCTGAACTGTATTTTATTCAGTGATTATAAAAACATTTGAATGGTAATAATATTTTCCAGGTACTTTTCTAAATTTGGGGCATATAATATCAAATAAACTAGACAAAAGTCTTTTGGGGAAGAAAACAATACATCAGTTAGTTTAACTCAGCATAGATATATGGATTTAAGTGATTTGAAGAAAAGATAATAGGGATGATTGACATGTTGTGACATAGCAGAGGGAGGATGCAATTTTAGGGATGCTGAGAATACCTCATTGAGAGTTGATTTTTTTTTCTAGAAAGATTTATTTAATTATTTGAAATGCAGAGGGAGACACAGAGAAAAAGAGATCTTCCATGCCCTGGTCCATTGCCACAGCGAGGGCTAGGCCAGACTAACGCCAGGAGGCAGGAACTCATCCGGTCTTTCCACATGAGTGGCAGGGATCCAAGTATTCCTGCCCCATCATCCACTGCCTTCCTTGGTGCATTAGCAGGAAGCTGGATGGGAAGCACAGAACCTGGGACTCGAATCCTGTACTCCGATATGGGATGTGTGCACTGTAAGCAGTGGCTCCAACCACTGTACCACAATGGCTACCTCAGGGAGGTGACATCAGAGCAGAGACCTAAAGGACGTGAGAGAGCAGACAACTGAATCAGAGAAAAGTATGTTGCAAGAAGAGATGGCTGCAAATGCCTGATCTTCAGAGGAGAATGGATCTAATGTGTTCATAGTAAGGACCATTTGTAAGGATTAAACTAGGTCTGCAGGCTTTGTGAGATCCCCAAAATGCCTGTCTTTGTTATCTGCCCAGCTCATTGATAGCTGATCACTGGTATTAGAAGCTACAAGATGGAAATGAGAGTAGTCCAGTAAGGGAGAGCATC